GCCCCAAAGAATGAGGAGCCACCATCAGAGGAGCGGTCGCCTTCGTCTGCATCTCCTCCGTCGTCCGTGTCCCCGGGGGTGGAGCGCGCCACAGCCACACTCAAGAAATCCACGCTCAATCCCAACGCAAAGGAGTTCAATCCCAGCGCGAAACCCTTCACACCCAGGAGTCCCAGCACACCAAATCCCAGCCGGTAAGATATTGTAGGGACACAGTAGTTGCACACATTTTGTGGAATTGACACTTTGCACTTGTGTACAGAGTGCGCTCGGCGGCGAACGCCAGTCGTACCCCGTCACTGGCCGCGCTAGGCCGCTAACAAGTCCCATAGACACTAAAGTCAGCAAAAAAAAAAGATCAAAATAAAAAAAAAAGGACCTGCACCAAAACCACCTGGCTCGAAAAGAAAGAACATAAGTTTGAAACAAAGAAAAAAAAAAAATATATAGTATATAAATAGTAGGAAGTATATTGTATCGCCAATAACAAATATATTAATCTGTAAAACTGTGATTTCTGAATAACAACCTTAGTGACTTTTGAACACTTTTGACCTTTGACACCTTCAGTGAGTCATTTACGGGACTATCAGGCGTAAGTAACTGGCCAATGAAATTGTTAATTGCATTTAAGTGCTCATTTAGCACGTGCTCGGCGGTGAAGGAAAACATCGTGAGGACACCTGCATGTCTGAGGAATAAAAAAAAAATATTTCGAAGACATGCCAAGTTCGCCAACACGCATTGGGGCAGCGCGGCGGACACTTCCTTGCCCTAAAACCCTCTAAGAAATGAGGGGAGGCCTGTGCCCAGCAGTGGGTCGTATATAGGCTGTAACTTTACTATATAAAACCCGCACTATATTATAGCTATTACTGCCCACCATAAGGCACTACAACCATGTTATCTCAGGGGTTGAGTGATTCTTAAAATTTATAGTATGAAGTTGATTATACGGTGTTTAGCAAGGCAAAACGAAAAAAAAAGAGGAGTCCCCAATTGATAATTTTTTTATTTTTTAGAAAAAAAAAAAAGGCCCACCCCCAAAAATACCCCCACCAAAACGCGGGGCGATTTTTAATATTTGAAAAAAAAAAAAAACTTCACCGGTTAACGGAGTGTTCGGTAGTAAAAAAAATGTAGAATTGACAAGAGCGTATGAATTCCACCAACACGCATTATGGCAATGCGATGGAACCTTCTCAGAAATGGGTGGTGGTAGCACACATGTCTAGCAGTAGGACATATGTCCCACTAAAACTCTCATCATGTATATGTATTACATAACATTATAAACAATTTTCCGATACCACGAAACTGAGCCAGCATCCATTAACTTTCTGGTTTAACATGGTTCTCACTCCATTTGCTGTATAAGACAGCCATGTTGTATTTGCTAGTATAAGACAGCCATTTAGATACAGTTATATTTACCAATCCATTGCTACTTTAATTTTCTAATTATTTGAGTTATTATAGATATATGTAAATGTACTTATAGTAACTGGAATATAATACATATAGTAGTCGGCAAGAAATATAAAAGCTTAAAGTGCATAATATATTAATACTATATTTAGGGTCAAAGATGTGTTATCTTCAAGACAATCTATTCTTCAGACTTAAAAACGAACAGCATGATACCAAGTAAAATTTAATTCATTATATAAAGGAAGCAGGGCTTAATTTTAATTTCTTTATCCATGCATTATCTGAGACGACATTGAGTCTCAGATCAACAAAGAAAATTGTTATGGTTTTGTTTTAGGGTGATATCAAATTTACTTAGTGCTCCATTATTGGTCTGAGCTCTTGAGTTTAATTAATCGATTAGGGATATTTTTATTTACCCATAAAGTATACCTTAGCAGGTGATCCCATGTAAATTTGACATGGTAGAGCCATGCTGTACCTATATTACTGATTAAAGTTGTAGCATGAATGGGTCGATTTGACCAGGGAAGGACCATACTCTCACAGAATACCAGCGAACAATAGTAGCTTGATACTGCTGTGTTTCATATGGTGAGTGTAGAGAACCGAAGACCCTTTTACTAGGAATTAGCCCTAACGGGTGACAATGCATCTGTATTTTGATTCGTAATTGAGTATAGATGTGGATGTCTATGGGCCACAGCAACCACTTACCATCAGTCCACTTGTGTGCTCGTTTGTCACCCTTAACTTATAAAATAACACAACCCAATTTGTTGATAACTGAAGTCATTTTATAATACTGGATAAATAATTTTAATCTAATAATATTAAAATTAAAGTTTTTTTTTCATATTTTACGTGTTGCCATACCATTTACCCAATTGCGATAAAACTTGTTGCTTGCTAAACTTATTGCTTGCACTTGTGCGAAAGTTATAGGCATAGTATAATTAACTTACAGTAGCTGGCGCGCGTAATCGTATCGACAAAATTTGTAAGTTATATATATCTTCCAAATTTAAAACGATATTTCCGCAATTATTTTTTCTATGATAGTAATGCTGGTTACGGGTTACCAGTATTATATAAAAAAATTGTTTGAGTGTTTAAGTGTTAATTTAATTAGTTCTTTAAAATGAAGTGAAGAGGCCAATACAAGTGTGTGTTGTTGTTTTGTGGTTGCAGGCCGCATACGCCGGGCACGCCGGTGGGCGTGGGCGTGGGCGTGGGTGTTGGCGTGGGGCTGAGCGGCGTGGGCGTGATGGGCGCCGGTGTCAGCTACGTGCCCGCGCCGCACCCGCCGCCGCCACACATGGTCGGTGCACATGCCGCCACTACCTCTATGTCACACGAACTCCACTCCACTCACCTCACCTCACCCCTCACACTCCATAGCACCCACAGTCATTCTGTTCTCAATACTTGGAACAAATACACAATTATCGATTATTTGATATAGGAGATATTGCCTAGTGATGTTCGACAGTTGCATCACTTCATATTGTATAGTAATTTATGTAGTAACTCTCAGAATACTTTTGAACTGTAGCTGAACTATTATTAATGTTGCAGATTTAAGCAACATCTTTCTGACAATAACTCAGAGTATAAATCCGTCTGGCAAGCGTGGCAATTTTGGTATCCTCCACATAAGGCATTCTATGGGGACAATGTTATACTCAGGACGTTTAATTATTGGCTGTAATTAATCTATTTTTAATATGAAACGTACTAGTATTTTCTCCTGTATCTTGCAGTTAGTTCTTAGGTTACATACATTTCGCAAAGGCAAACATCAGACCAGGAATAATTATTAGTTATGTGATATAAGTATTAGTTATATGAGGGATTCGAATCCGGGGCTCTCAGTGTCGCAACTAATTGCTAAACCACTGCGCCACTGGGTCGTTATTATATTATTCCTGTGTCCCGGGTTGACTGAGAGAATGCCGAAAGGCAATAAGTCTATTCTTTGTAATCCTTTTTATTAAGTTGTTTTATACGTAACAATTGAGTGTGTAGTTGTAGTGGAAGAATATCCATTACTCCATATTGTCCCGTGGATATCGTAACAGGCGACAGTGGGAAACAAACCAGTAGATGGTCGGCAGCGTTTTCTTAATAATAACTAAAATTGGAAAAAAAAATTGCAGTTGCCAAATGTGGCAATTATGACACATATCTATGTGTCAATATAAGGGGGAGGCCTATCTTTAGGACATTTTTAATAGGCTTTAACAGTAAGGGATACATAACAATAAATAATTGAGGTGATTGCTACTGTGCTGTTTTTAATTGTTTCCACACGTCATTGTATAAAATATAATAATGTAAAGTTTTTCTTTAAAGTTTTGCCTTAAAAAATCTTGGTGGTTCTTTCCAGAACAAAGGCTTTTCTGAACCAGTGGTAAAGCTTAAATGACTTTCAATATGCAGTCTAATGGTAGTTTAATACTACTTTGTTACGTATGGTGAGTGTAGAGAACCGGAGATCCTTTTTACTGGAAACAACGCATCTTTATTTTGATTTTTAATCGAGGGTAGATGTAGTGGCTGTGGGGCACGGCGTCCGATTACCATCAGGTGGACTGTGTGCTCGTTTGTCAACCTTATTCTATAAACAAGTGTTATGTATTTTAAATAAAAATGATTTTATGGCATTGTGTTTTAAATGTAACAACGAACACGTGACGGTGAGCGGTGGTGTATTGCCGCAGGTGGCGGCCGTGCCGTATGCGATGGTGGCGCAGCAGCCGCCCGCCTACCTGCCGCACCCGCACCCGCATCCTGTGAGTTCTCAGACCATTTTTATAAACATCGCACACTAAACTTACATTAAATTACTTTTAATCACACCTCATATTAATATATATAATAAGCCACGCCTCTTATAAAATAAGTTTTAATCACACCTGTCATTTTCTGTATATTTTCATATAATCATTGACAAAAATACAATAGAAAACTAAAATATTATTACACTTTTACATATTTAAAAATTGCTCTACAGACCGTATTCAGAAACTGCATCTGACAGTAGTATAGATTATAAATTGTAAATTCACTTAGTCTAACATTTCTACAGTTAATTACTGCACCAAAACTACTGCACCGATATCAATAAAATTTCATCCAGTTCTAGTAATAGTAATTGTACTTCAAATGGAACTATTACGATATCGATATTATTATTTGTTTTCAAGTTACGAATATGCGAGGTACATAGACGTTTTACTAAAAACCGTAACATCAAACTTTACACACCCTGAAGTGCGGAAATATATTGAAACATTGACTTGGAAAATTGTACACATTACAATAACTTCTTGCAAAGAATTTAACAAGTTTTAATTACATTTTCCTTTAAAAATAAGTAGATCAACCATCAGTCACTTTTTCAAAACTTTGTTTTAAACGTGCTACAGGCCCCATGTCATACATTATAATTATGACCATAGTATCTAAAGGGTTAAACGTTCCCTGTTAATGTTACTGTACGCGAGCAACCCGGGTTTGATCCCCGCCGGCACCAATAAAATAGTAAATTGTATTTTTCATTGCTGATGTACCTACCACATGCTCGACGCTGAAAAACATTATGAGGATACCGACAAAATTAATAAATAAAAAGAAATAAACATGTTTCGAAGACATGAAAAGTCCTCCACCACGCATTGGGGCATGGTGGTGGGCTTTTCTTTGCCCTCACACTTTCTTAGCGAAATGAAAGGACACCTGTGCCCAGATGTAGGACGTATTGAAGTAGGCTGTAACTTGTTCATGTTTATATGTATTTACATTCATGAGGGTGTCTACAACTTTTTCTGCCACTCAGGCCGGTGCCTCTGTGGAATGAGGTGAAATATTTGACGGATTTCATAGAGGGGAAGTTAATTTATTAGGAAAATTTAAGGTTTATGTTTCTTTCTAAAATATTAATTATATTTTTACTAATAAGATTAAAATTGATAAACTTAACTTCAGATATTCACAAAAGTTAAAGAATTAAAAAGTGAGTTAAACAAGGTGTCAAAATTTTAAGTAGGCATTGTTTTGTGTACATACAAAAGAAACAGAAAAACTTTTATTTGAAACACAACTTTTCACTGTGTATTAACTTCACCTCAGTCCCTAGCCACATCTGATGTGCGGAAAATTATTAAGCCCTCATTCGACATTACTTAGATTTATAAAGATTAATACTTTTAGAGTGCTTACTTCAAAAGTCAGATAACTAAAATTGAGTTATGGGTCACGGAACAGATGGAGATGGCTTGCGAGTGTCGACAATTCGGGCCGCCCATACTCGTGATGCCCGACAAGCGGGAGCGCCACGAAGCGGTGAGACATTGCCCGGTGGATCCACTGACCGATTCTAGAAGTTTCTGTAGCTTACTGACGGTTATGTACATTCGCACACTAAAACAACTGTAAGTCGTAGGACTGAACGTTAGAAGTGACAACTTCTTAGCTTCGCAAACTTTATTACATTATTTTTTACGCTGTTATGAAATATTTTACAAATTTATAAATAGTAATTTTATAAAATTTATTCAATATATTTTCAACAATAATTTCTGTCATTTTCTGTATCTGAGCGTGACGGTCACGCAAGTGCAGTGCTTTTTTTTTCCATCCCAAGTGCCCAACGTGCCTAAAGAAGTTATCACTTATACTTATAAAAAAATGCTTTTGCACCACGATTGATCAACAACGTCGGGGGAAAGGGCGGGGGGTTAGTTAATATCTATGGCTTTAAAGTCATATGTTTCGTGCTCACTATGGACGAAGTGCTATGATCCGATAAATGGCACTGTAAAACTTGTATTCCCACTGAAACACAATAACAATAAAATTTGGTGGAATGCTGTACAAAATCTGGAGTGAAACACATCAGGCCATCTACTGGAAAGGGTAGAATGACTGCAGAGCTAGCTAGTAATATTAATTGAATTGTATACATTCATCATGAATCGGTCAGTGGTCCAACACCCTTGGTGTGTTTGTTCAGAGTTTGATTCCCCATACTGTTTGTTGCCCGTTTGCGTCACCAATGATAACCGCTTGGAGACTCACTGTGGTTTTAACTGTAGCAGATTATTTGATTTTATTATTAACCACATATTGTAATGAGTTTGAGATTTTAACATGCTAATGTAAAAGAAAATGATTCTTATTTAGAAATGCAACACTTGAAAATGACAATTCAGTAATAGGAAAATACGTGAAAACATAATTTATCAGGTAAGGCATTGAAAAATATTTTTTGTGCAATTATCACATGTACGACCTGTCCTCTTATTAGTATTTTCACTTTACTCATTACACTCCATCTATGCTCCGAGGGAGACCTATGTTCAGCAGTATAGACTGATAAGCGTTTTTCGTTGACTCCATCATTGGTCTAGTAGTCTGCTGATCATGTCCCGTGTTCAAATCTTGGTTCGTGCCAAGCTTAGTTATCCGGGGTTTTCTGTCAAGAAATTCTCAAAACGAACCGGGAGTCAGAAGTTTGACGGTGTTTCACCTTGGTGCTACGCCTTATCCGTCTCCGGTCGTGTCATGTTACCGTAACATCGGGCTATGAGTGTGAGGGAATAGAGAGTGCACCTGTGTTTGGACTTACACTCGTGCTCTATTGACACTAGTCACCATGACCGAATGGTCTGGAGAACATTATTCATTGTATCATCTTTTCCAATTGTTTTTAATTCGTGTGATACTTGGTCACAAATAAAAAAGCAGTTAAATACGACATATTATATAATATTTTCACATTACGTCTACTTTTAAGCAACAATAGCCTATCGGGGCTCAAACCGCAGACTTGTGAGCTTGAATTCGCCTTTCGACTATAATACTTTACTGTATTGAAGCACAAGCATTTTAAACTCACTTATAGACTGGTTGATTGGATTATTAATGAAAATTAAAATTTACTAATTAAAATTACAAGTTACTTCGGCCTTTTTTCAATAAAATGTATCAAAATATTGCACCTGTGTTTTAGAAATGTACATTGTTTTACTAATAGTGTGTTGTTCAGTGTTTTATTGCTAACTATGTTTTTGATTGGTTTGAGTGGATTCACTAATACATGTTACATTAACTGCTACGCAACATTGTAAATATTTTAAGTAAAATACCCGCTCGCGTAGGTCGTCGCCCGCTCGGAGCGTAAAATACCTAAATTTGCGTAACGGAGAAATGTAAGAGGGCTCTTAATGCTACATTTTACAATAATCTAGCTATACTATGAATGGCCTGTGGATATCTACGATTTAAAAAAATGTTGATTCCATGATTACAACATGCTGAAGCCGCCCTGGACGACTTTAATAAACAGAGTTTATAAACCTTTTCATGTTATTAGAATGAAAATCACTATTTGTCAGTCAACGACTTAAATTGCCAATGGTATAATCCCGTGAATTGAAATTTGGTATTTGATTATTTTCTTGGTTTGGATTGTCAAGATTTGACCCGTTAAGAGTCCGCCAATGGACTTCAAGAAACCATAACAGCATCGCACACGCCTAATAGATAGAACAAATGATAGAGCACCGCTTGGAGGTGGACTACTGTGCTAATTGATTGGATAAAAGACAAATATTAAACAAAATAAATCGATAAGTGATAACTCACTCAATGTTTTAGTAACTAATTGACAATGAAAATCCGACGAAACAGAAGAGAGATAACCGTTAAGTTTTTCCAGAATAGAAGCTTGGTTATAAAATAAAATAAAATTGAAAAGTGACCTTTGAAGTTTAAAAAAAGGTTGATGTTTCCTGGCTTATTAAATAAAAGCCATAATAGCATTTGTTTTCTGGTATATTTCATAGCATTTGACTTGAATAAAAATTCAAATATATACAACATGTAACATAATTAACGCACTTTGAGAAAGTAGTTTGTCCAGAATCCTTTACTAAATCGATTCCTATCATTGTTAATATAGGTAATTTTTTATCCCAAAAATAATTAAAACTACCTAAATTACAGTCACACTACATCTGTACAGTCAAAACAAACTGAAATGGACCGTAACTTAAGGCAATAAGACTTTTAAGAGTGCAGTTTTATTTGTATTATTACTAATTCTGTCATTCAATAAAAATGAAGAAAAATTATTTCAAGCACGTTAGTCTTTGCGTTCGTGGATTTGCACTGTGACCACAACATTTTTCCGGAATTAGTATAACTAATTTGATAAATAATCAGTGCATAAAAATGTTTAACTAAAATTCAGTTTATGTATTATGGTTATAACATAATATACTAATTGGGGTGTCTGAGGGTGTGCGTTAATTATGTTACATATTGTATATAATATACACATCATAATATTCTTTAATAAATATTAAGTAGTTCACCTTGACACTGTATTATTATTTCAGTCTTACAAATCAAAATTATATTTTTTTTCTAATAACTTGCATAAAACACGACCATTCGGTTACGTTTTGCTTAAAAAAAAAACAAATAAAAAAACAGAGTTCTAAAAGTAGTAGTAAAGTACAAAATGTACAAGGTAGAGGCGAAATTTGTATGAAGAGGCAGTTTTTATTTTCCTTCGGTTATATATACCCTTTTTCAACCTACAGCCCGTATAAATATTACTAAAAACGACATTTATGAAATATAAAAGGGTAAAAAATTATACTACCACGACAAAAGTAAAATGAATATTTTTAGAAAAAAAAATTAATAATTTATATATTTAATGAAGTTGAGCACCTTCACCTACGATCTCGAACGTATTTATGCACGGGGGAGAGCGCCCCCTATAATGGCTGGGAATGTAAAACAGCAAAGCTAGACGGAAGCCTTAACAGGAACCACAGGGATTTTGTTACTGTTATATAATCCTACAAAAAATCTTGTTTAGAGCTAACTGCCAGCCGCAGCGTGGCTGCAAATGCCTCCATATGTCATATGATAAGTGTAGAGAAACCACACTTTAGTGAAATTGTATGGAAATTCTTACGGGACAAAACTTCTAGAATTGAGAGTTAATCAATAAAACATGCTTAGTAAATAACAACGATAAAGTTTGCTCATCTTACTAATGAGCATTATAATCACGATACATACTAATGAACATAAACAAACTTAAGAAATTTTTATGAATAAGATCGTAAATAAACAAACTGAATTCTATAATTATTCATAATTAGTATAATTTTATCATCATACACGAAACGTCAGAGAGTCTCTTCAGGAGTGAGTTTTACTAGTTCCTCTGATATGGACCACAATTTAGCTGCCAACTCCTTATCCTTAGCTTTCGGAGACATTCTACTTTCACTGCAATCCTCTAAGTAGCATCCAGTCATATAGTCACATTCGTGGGAAACCGCTAGGTAAAGGGACGTCTGCGCTCCTTCTGCAGGGCTTTTGAAGAAAATGGACAGTACCAATCTCTTCAACTTGTTCAGTAGTGATGAACTTCTGTACAATGAAGTGTTGACTTGTCCAGGGTTCAGACTGTTAACTGTGACTCCTGTGCCCTCCAATCTTCTGGCCAGTTCATTGCTGAATAGAACATTGCAAAGCTTACTATTTGCGTAAGTTTGTAAATATCCTTTTTTCTCGTCATTAATATTCTGAATGTTTCCGAAATTGTGCATCGCAGACGACACGATTACGACACGACTAGGAGCCGATTTCTTTAACAATGGTACTAGTAATACAGTCAACAGAAACGGACCAAAATGGTTAATCTGCATACCCTTTATTATACCATCTTCAGTTTTTTCCCTGCGTGGGTAAATTACCCCGGCATTGTTTATTAGTACATCCAGCTTTGCCTCGGTGCTTGCAAAATCTTTTACAAATTTCCTTACAGACTTCAGAGATGACAAATCTAGATGAATATACTTAACGAACTGGTTATTTGCCTGTTTTATAATAGTTTCTACAGTTCGCTTGCCCCTTTCGTCGTCGTGACATGCGATTATCACCTTCGCTCCCCTTCTAGCTAAGTCCAAAGCCGTTTCAAAGCCTATCCCTCCACTCGCACCTGTAACAATGACAACTTTCCCGGTCATGACGCTTTCACAATAGCATTTGCCCGTAGTCATTTTATTGAAAGCCTTTATCAATATCAAAGCGGTCACAATCCATATAAACCACATCATTTTTATTTATTTAAAAGATTTCAGTTTTGATACCACCAATATATTATAAGGATGCGAATCCTAAATTCAATTTAACGCAATATTAATTTATTCTTTTAAAAATGTTTGCAACTTTTGTAATTTAAACAATTATCTCCAAGGTTTTATGTTTCAAAACATTAAAATTGATAAACTATTGATAGTGCTTCTTATATAAATCAGAAAAACACGAAATAAACCTGAAAACACCCACAAAAAATTAATTTCATGTATCTAAAAGAGTATTGTGATTTAAAAATTTGTGCATTATCTAAATCACCGCGCTTATCAATCTAACAACGAAATTGACGACGTCTATATCAAAACGCGGGCTATACATAACTGATTTGGTTTAAAGATCAATAAAATACATTAGTTGTACTACGAGTTTTATCAGAGCTACAATAATAAAAAAAATATATAAGACCGATTATTCAAATGATTGGTAATTTGTTTAACTAACAAGTGTTATTTTTACTAGTTTATGCTTTTTTTTGCAATCTTTTTTATGTTAGCCGAAAACAGGAATAGATTACTGAATACATAATTAATTTATTACCTTGAAAAACTATATGATTTTGAAACATTATTCTTGATTTTCTATCATTTTGTCTTCTTTCAGCACATGAAATGTTGTCCAAATTAAAAGGGAGCAACGTGGAAACTAATGAATTGGTAAACTTTTGATACGCCAAACTGAAGCCGAAATCGGAATATTAAGAAAAAATTAAATGTAAAAAAAAGAAAAATATGAAGGAAAAGGTTAAGACACACTATTTTATTTCATTGAGCAGATATATGCGAAGTAATTCTTACCAACTTTATTCTATTAATTAAACATATTCAATTCAATTTGACTAAACCCAACCGTATATTAAAAACATCCAACACCATTTTGTAATAGGGAATGCAATCTATCTATATTAAAACATAAAAAAATGTTTCTACCTGTGTCCGTTATAGACTGAAACTATCCAACTGATGTGCCTCAAACGGGTATCATTAGAAAGGCAATGTGAAGATGGTTTAGACCACTAAAACAACGTATTAGGTACTATATAAAAAAGTTAATAAATAAACTAAAGTGCCTTTTTTCTCAATGTATAAACAAAATGTATTTCTTTTTTTAGCGTATGAGCACACGTCGGGTATATCCGCTAGGAAAGAATTAGTAAACATATTTTTGATGAGCTTTATATAAATGGTTGTTCAGTGGTGGTGTAAGCATACTGCGTGCGTGTCGTAAGGGGCCACAGAGTGAAACTGAAACCGGATAGCAGCATCTTCCTGATATCAGCTGAAAACAACAACAAAAAACTGTGGTTGCCCACTCGCTTCTCAAGCATACCAACGATGGCAAAATCCCCCTATATGCCGATTTATAAGAGGTCTTGTCAAAAAGTGACAAGTTCAGGTGTTAAGCGCTCGTTGTAAATTTCATTGTACGCAAATAAAAGAAGAAAAAGAAAAAGAGTGCCGCTGGCATCACAGAAATTGTTAATGGCAATTTTAAGCCCTAAATTGCCACGTGCTCGGCGGTGAAGGAAAATATCGTTAGGAAATCTGCATGTCTGAGGAATATTTTGGAGGAGGTATTTTGGAATTATTGAAGTCTGTTAATAGGCTCTAGAACATAGAACAGCACATTGGACTAACTACTCCATAATTTTTTAAGAAGTGACAGGTGACCTATGTCCGGCAGTAGGATAGGACGTATATAGGTTGTAACTTTTATATACATGTAGCCAACCTGAGGTCGGCTCAAATGGGCACAGACCCTACACTATTTTAGTACTGCTAACAACGCGTTGGGACTTTTTCTCTTGTGGAGTTAGACACCATGTTTTCTGGTAAGGAGACGCCAGCGACACTGATTGGAATGTTTATAGACTGCAATTGTTGTTTAAATTAAGTCAAATGTTAAATGTTATCTGCCTCACCGAAATATAAATTTACGACACTTATCACTTTTTGGCTTGCTTAAACTTTTAATAATAATTGATTGCAACAATGTTATCATTGACGAGATATTATAAAAACCTGTAATAATGCTTTATTTTACTTTTAATGTATTATATATTATACAGAGGGCACAAATCAGATGGCCGGCAGCGTCTCCCTAATAACAACTAAAAATAAAAAACTGGGGTTGCCAACCTGCTTGCCAAGCGTGGCAACTGTGGCAAGGGGGGATACCCCTATGAGGCAATCTATGTGGAAGGTGGTATGTTCAATGGTGGATTTTAGTAGGCTGTAACGGTAATGAATTTTATTCCAAGCAACTATAAAATTGTACGTAAAAATTATATCGTAGACAAACATAAAAAGATTATAATTTCTTATGTTTACGCGAACACTACACATTTAAATAACACTAGTTTTTACGGATTACTATATATATTTATATATATTATATTATATAATTGCTTAGTTTATATTCCTGACGTTTCGAGCACTTTACTGCACCCATGGTCGTGGGAGAGGGGACTGAGGTGATCGACGTCCCAATGTCATAGTTAACCACGGCTACCTGCAGATTAAAATTAATTTAATGTAAAAGTAGTGTACGAAATTTAATATGCCATAGTTTTCAGCTGATATCAGGTAGATGCTGCTTTCCCGTTTCAGTTTCCCTCTATGTCCTCTCACGACACCCACGCGATATGTGAATACCATGTATTATATACAGGCTTACTGGGAACTCGACAACTTCCAGGCAGGGCGTGATGGAGGAGTCAAAATACTACAAACTTGACCCCCATATGTATGGCCGAAAATGAACAGGTCTTGAGATATACGGATTTTAAACATTTTTTAATAATCAACCAGAATTCAATATAAATTTTTTTTTATATGCTTTCATTTAAGTTTATTTATTTTCTTGAAGCTTCAACCAAGCGAGTACAATCATAAAAAGTACAAAAGGTATTCCCAGTGTGGTGTTCGTACACGCGATATAATCCGTAAAAACTAGTTTTATTTTAATAAAAAGGTTAATTCGATAAACTTTATAGGGCTATTAAAATAGTTCTCTGTTATCGTTAGCTTATTAATAAATCACATGTATTAATTATTTAAAAGTAAAGAGCGATTCTTTTACTATATTAATTAATTGCGTTGTACTAGTAGGATGTACTATCATTTATTGCCGTAATTAGTTAGTAAATGACCACAATCTATCAACTGTCTGACCGCTTTATCAGCTTTCAATGGCCTATATCGCGACGTTTGTCGCGAGGCCGGACGATAAAATTAATTTATAGCCTTCCGAAAGAGCCGTCGCAGCTCAGAAGCTAAGAGCTTGCCATGAATTTAACAATACGCGAGCAACATGGGTTTGATCCACACCGGTACTAATGAAATTGTTTACTGCAATTTTCAATGCTGATTTACACTTTGCGGTGAAGGCCAACATCGTGCGGAAACCTGCATTACTTGAGGAATAAAATAATGGCGGCATATGTGACGTACGCCAACACGCACTGCAGCAGTCGGCGGGTTAAATTATCCATATTATTATCATCCATAACTCTCTCAGTAGGCCTTAAGAGATCTGTGATCAGCAATCGTTCAGCTTGTAACAGAAAAACCTAACACTAACTTTTCTAAAATATAAAAGAAATACAAGGCAACGGGTGAAGTATTGAGAAATACGCAAGATCCTTTTCATATCAATAATTCTACCCGGGGTACAAACTGGAATACTCCTTTGTACCTCGAGCTGGAGTTTGCGTTTACGTCAGAGAGGACATCTGTTCTCGACGCCTCGGCAGACTTGAAGGTTCGGACCTGTCCATCCTTTGGCTACGCGTAGACAGCGACGACCATCCGCGCGTCTACGGGTGCATCTATAGGTCCCATAGCGGTAATGCCGAAACAGATCGACTCTTCGACCACGTCCAAATGGCTACAGATTCGTTGCTATAGCAGATCCCCTCCGCAGAGATCGTGATCCTCGGCGACTTTAACGCCCATCACGCCGAATGGCTTGGTTCACGTTTAACCGATCATGCGGGGAGATCTGTTCATAATTTTGCCTTGGCATATGGTCTGACACAACTGGTTACTTCGCCTACGCGGATTCCAGATGTGGAGGATCATGCACCTTCCCTGTTGGACCTTCTGCTGACCTCTCACCCGGACAGATATCAGATTTTCGTCGACGCCCCTTTAGGCTCCTCGGACCATTGTCTTGTCCGGAGTGTGGTGCCACTCACGCTGAAATCGCAGTTGCATTCTGCAGGCTGCCGCCGTGTTTGGCACTATAGGTCAGCCGATTGGGATGGGATGCGGTCTTTCTTTGCATCCTACCCTTGGGGGCGGGTTTGCTTCTCGCCGGACGATCCCAACGTTGTTGCGGATTCTGTCGCTGATGTGGTACTTCAGGGTATGGAACTTTTTATTCCTTCCTCTGTGGTGCCAAATTGGAGGCAAATCTCAGCCATGGTTCGGTCGCTCCTGTAAAATAGCATCATGCTATAAGCAGGAGTGCTACCAGGCCTGGGCTGACGCATCAGCGTCTCGGGTTGTAAACACCAGCGCTCTAAAAAAGAAGTATAATTCCGCCTCTAGGTCCTTCCAAAAGAGTCATTGCCAAGGCAAAGTCAGAGCACATAGGCAGAATTGGCGAGAAACTAGTTCGCCTTCCTTCTGGAACCCGTGCATTCTGGTCTCTCGCCAAGGCTGTCCAGGGGAATTTCTGTCAGCCATCTCTTCCATCTCTACACAGGGAGGACGACTCACTAGCCCATACCGCAAAGGAGAAAGCCGATCTTCTAGGCTCTTTCTTTGCGTCCAACTCGACTCTCGATGACGAGGGGAGTACGCCGCCGACCATCCCGCGGTGTGAGTGCTCCATGCCAAAAGTGCAGTTCACACAGCGCTCGTTTCGCAAAGCACTCCTCTCCCTGGACATCCACAAGTCGAGCGTGCCTGACGGAATCCCCCCAATTGTGCTGAGGACGTGTGCTCCAGAGTTGGCACCGGTTTTAACGCGTTTTTTACGGTACTCCTACTCCCTAGGCGTAGTCCCAAAATCATGGAAGACGGCTTTCGTCCACCCGATCCCTAATAAAAGCGACCGCTCAGACCCGTCCAACTACCGGCCTATCGCCATCACTTCCTTATTCTCCAAAACAATGGAGTCCATTGTAAACTGCCAGCTCATGAGGTAGGTACCTTGAAGATCATCAGCTGATTAGTGACCGCAAATATGGTTTTCGCCGTGGTCGGTCAGCTGGTGATCTTCTAGTCTACCTAACTCACAGATGGGCGGAGGCCGTAGAGTCCAAGGGGGAGGCATTGGCCGTTAGTTTGGACATTGCGAAGGCCTTCGATCGGGTTTGGCATAAAGCGCTTCTTTCGAAGCTCCCTTCCTATGGGCTTCCCGAGAAATTGTGCGATTGGATCACCAGCTTTCTTGCAGATCGGAGCATCAAGGTCGTTGTAGACAGTGCAAGCTCCGATTGCAAGCCTATTCATGCTGGTGTTCCACAAGGCTGCGGTGCTATCGCCAACGCTGTTTCTTCTGCATATCAATGATATGTTGCAAACCCGTAACATTAATTGCTATGCAGATGACAGCACTGGTGATGCTCTTTACACCGGCCGAGCCAGTATTTCTCGGGAAAACGTCTCCGAGTGCCGGGACGAACTTGTTTCTGAAGTCGAGTCTTTGCTGAACAGAGTCTCGGATTGGGGGCGACTAAATCTAGTCCAGTTTAACCCCCAGAAGACACAAGTTTGCGCGTTAACCGCTAAAAAGAACCCCTTTGTCGTATCTCCTCAATTTCGGCACTCTCCTTGTTGCCTCATCTAGTTTCGGAATCCTCGGCGTCGACATATCGAGTGCCGTGCAGTTTCGTGGTCACTTGGAAGAGAAGGCCAAATTGGCCTCTAAAAAGCTTGGCGTGCTCAGCAGAGCGGGACAGTATTTCATGCCGGCACACCGCCTGCAACTTTACAAGACCAAGGCGAATACCCCACCAATCTACTTGACCGCATCCAGCGCAGAGCGGCTCGAATCGTCGACGACCGAGTGCTTTCCGATCGGCTCGATTCACCTGCACTGCGAAGAGATGTTGCATCTCTTTGCATTTTCTTTCGCATATACCATGGAGAGTGCTCTGAGGAATTGTTCGGATTAATCCCAGCCGCCAAATTTCGTGAACGCACAACGCGGCAAACATCCCGATACCATCCACACCATCTGGATGCTTGGCGGTCCACCACTGTACGTTTCAAAAGAAGTTTTCTTCCGCGTACAACCTTTCTGTGGAATAGTTTACCACTGGCGATTTTTCCGGACCGATACGTCCTGGGGACCTTCAAGAAAAGAGCTTACTCCTTTCTAAAGGGCCGGCAACGCAACTGCAATTCCCCTGGTGTTGCGGTTGATCATGGGCGGCGGTAGTCACTTAACATCAGGTGAGCCACATGCTCGTTTGCCCCCTCTTCTATGTAACAAAAAAATGTAAACTTTTTCCAGTATTCCAGACCCGCTTAATCTAGAATCTCAAAGAATATATCTTAAAGACGGATCTTCTGACAAAGTTTATGCAACTCTCTTTGCTATACATCTTAATCTTAATATATATGAATTACGTGTCACGTTGTTTGTTCGCGATGGACTCCTAAACTACTTAACCGATTTTAATCAATTTTGCACACCGGGTGGTTTGGTTCAACTTGGGAGATCTTGAGAGATATAATACTTTTTTACCCATGAATGACCCACATATTTTTGCGAATTTAAAGATTTTTAATAGGACATGACAAAGGGTCGTCGAAAAGGGCAGAACAACGTCTGGCTGGCAAGCTATTATATATTATAACATAACCTCTCAAGTGATAAATCTTCTTAACTGATAAAATTTTAATTACGTGCACTTTTTTCAACTCTTAAGATTTTTTTTAAGTTTGAACTGATGAAAGTGCAATGTTAACGCTACAATATAAGACTTTACACATACTTTTACCTTATCTTAGGCTAACTTAACATAAAAAATATAAAAGCAATATTTTTCCATTTATATTTTAGCAATTAATGTACTTGCATTAAACATAGGAGCTACGAGGAACCCGCATTTCACAAATTTGAGACATTAAATAATTCCAGAAGTATCCAAGAAGCTGTTGTTGGTTCCAGATGTCCACAAGCTTACAAGTGGACTGTTAGCTTGTTCACTTTATGGTTATCCCTCAACTAAGTTTGGTTTTTCCAGCTGTATGGTGCTGCGATGGGCGGCGGCGCAGCAGTAGCAGGTGGGGCGGGACAGCACGGCCCTATTCCAGCTCAGCAGCAGAGAAATTTCAGAAAAGGTGACAGATCGATGCATCTGCTTTTGATTACATAAATTCTTAATTTTTGTAGTGAAAGCAAATGTTAATAAACAATTAATACAATTTTCTAAAGTTAATTGCTTGATTAAAATATTTTTGGATAGGTTTTTCATGTTTGTTCCACTGTTACGTTATGTTCTAAAGGGTATAATATAATTACATGCTATTAGCTTCTATCTTAATCCTCAGAGGTCAAGAAAACGCATCTGTAGCTTTATTTTTTGAAGTTGCCTGCGTGGTAGTGCCACGCTGCTGCTTTATTATGGTTGTAGCATGTATGGATCGCCTCGACAGGGAAAGAACCACGCTCTCACAGAATACCAGCGTAAATTATCAGCTCGATACTGTTGTGCTTCGTATGGTGAGTGTAGAAATCCGGAGACCCTTTTTTACCGGGAAACTAGGCATTCTATCTTAGTCCTCAAGTGTGACCATGCGTCTGGGTTTTAATTCTTAATCGAAGATAGATGTAGATGTCCATGGACCACAGCATCCACTTACCATCAGGTGGACTGTGTGGTTGCTTGTCACCCTTATTCTATATAAAAGATGTCCGTGGACTGCAGTTGCGACTTATTATTAGATGGACTATCAGTCACTTCAGTTCAATATAATAAAAAAATACAAAATTTAAAACACGAATATTTGATGTAATAATGTTATGTTACATACAAACATTGGATTAAAATTTTCACAGGTTTCTATGTTTATTTTACTTTCATACAATGTATTTGATGTACTTTGTTTGTTAAAATAAATAACAACAATTCCTCTCATCTCGCGTTAACCCCTGATAAGAATAATCTGTGATTACATCTTATTAAAATTATTAAAAAATCACCGTTCTGCTGCTACATCACATCACATTACATGGATATAGTTTACAGGCCGAGTTAGATACGGATATTTAACATATTTTGTATTAAGAGAGCAATGTAAATTATATTTATTGTGTTCAACATTTATGTGTACGCAATTTTGCAAATCCACAAGCATATGTATATGAATAATTTTAGCTGAGTTTGGTTTTTTAGATCATTCGTTTTGTCGAAATGTAAAAGACTATGGGAAAGGTAAAAAAAAAAACTTATGGATTAGGATAGATGGTGACACGACCATCTCGTTTACGTTAGCTGTAAATTATCCAGGCCGGCGACGAGCAGCACACTCAAAGATTCGAGACGTCTGCTAGTATGACGGCGATCGTTGATTGATCTGCCAAGCGTGACTATTGATGCTTATCCTCCTTAAAAAAGAAATCCACTCCTTTTCAAAAAACTTTCAACGTACCTGCAATTTCTCTGATGTTGCAGTTGTTAAGGGGATATAGTAAGTCAGCTCAAATTCTAATTTCGCCCCCACTTGCCCGCGCGTCGTATGCTATGTACCGACATGTTTGTAATCACTAATACTGTAAGTAGATAGGTCGTTAGACACTTATTTCATTAGGTTTATCATATTTATGCTTTGTTTCTTAACGCCAAGCCAGTCGCTTCTTATTATTACGCTTACTTATTACGCTTGTTATCTTACTACGGTTATTTCCCATTTTAATTTTACGTCGTCCTGTTGCGAATTGTGTATTCTGATCATAAGCGACACAACCTCCCCCTTCAAAGGCCGAAGCGAAACTGACTGAGCGGCAGGAATCACGCTTCAAGAGGCCGATAGTTTAGGTAATTTCTTTTTACATTGAAAATAATGGTATTTTCAAAAAAGTAAATAACATAAGCACTGGTATATAGTTAGTTCAGTTAGTATGCAAAGTTTCATGATCTTATTTAAAGTATTTTATGAATAACAGCGGTTTATTGTTTATTTTGGAGGTAACTTTGGATTTTTTTTTCTATCGATAAAATTCTACGGAATCGTGTTTTCGTCTAACATAATCCTTAACATTAATCCTCAACTTTACCATATATTTATTTCAAAATTAATGCTGCAATATTTTCGGCATAACGGAGGATCTTGCTAAGCCATTTGAGGTTATATTTCCCCTTAATAGGCGGCGGTATTCATTTATCTTTAGCTGAGCCGCACGTATGTCTGCCGCTTTTTATATTAAAAGAATGTGAGAAGCGTATGTACAACAGAGCAACGGTTATTGTATAAGATGTTATGTTATTTGCATATTCATTTACGAAAGTATAATAAAACCATGTTTAAAATGTTTATTGTATATTATGGGTGTTTATGTGATGTTAACTAATAATATGACGTGTCTTAAAATTTAAATCTTTTTCGAATATTACAATATCATAAATATGCACTTGATTATTTTATTTATTAGTTTTTATTGAATATTCCCTATGACGAATTCGTTTAAAAGCCTAATGAATTCAACTTCGTCGGTAGGAATGCTTGAATAGTATGTTATTTATGATTTGATGTGAGCTAAAAGAGCGACAAGGCAGTCATGTACGCTTGTGGAAGCACGTGTATGCGTGTGTGACGTATGTGCGTGTTGCGTGTGCAGTGGGCGTGGGATCAGGCGTGCAGGTGGCAGCAGCGACGGGGCAGCCGCTGCTGGCGCCGGCGCCCATGCAGCCCTTCGTGCCCTACCCGCACCCGCACGCGCACCCGGCGCATGCAGCGCACGCGGCACACGCGGCCCACGCCGCACACGCAGCGCACGCCGCGCACGCTGCGCCACAGCCCGCGCTGCAGTACCAGCACATGGTAAGCACTGAGCACTGCCTCACCTACTCTATCACTTTCTTTTCAGCCTCTCACAGGTCTAAGAAATGCCCCTCAATACGCTCCTTAATCACCCGCATTAGTCTATTTGTTTCACGCATCACTACATTGATCTCCTTTACCAGGATTTGCCGGGAAAAGATCGCTGTTTAACGATAAGTTGTAGTACTGAGTGTGGTAGCCTAAGGTAGATAAATGCTTGCCGTAGATTTCATAGTATATTAGAAATTAGAATAATTATGTATATACGAATATAGCATAGGAAAAAGTCCATGGGGGTCAAATCTGGTGATCGCGGAGGCCACGCGATATCACCAAAGCGGGATATCAATTTTTGAGGAAACAATTCACAAAGTTGGTCCATAGTGGCTCTTGCAGTGTGGCAAGTGGCTCCATCCTGCCGAAACCACGTTCTTGAGCTGTAGGCTGGATGTTCTTGAAGTTGGGGTATAAAATAATTGGATATCATTTGCCGATACACCTCACCAGAAACAGTTAACGTAGCACCTGCCGCATTTTCAAAAAAATACGGCCCGATTATTCCATTGACCGAAAGAGCACACCACACTGTCACTTTCGGGCTATGCAGCGGTCTTTGATGTTTTTGTCTGGGATTGACAACTGACCAAAAGCGATAATTTTGTTTAACATATCCATTTAAATCGAAATGTGCTTCGTCACTACAAAACACAGTATTCAAAGTGTGAAATCTCAATGATTGTCTGGCAAAAACATTTACGTAAATTGTAGTCATTTTCATTTATTTCCTGCACTATCTGTAGAGATAGGGATAGAATTTCAAATCACGTTTTAAAACCCGCTCTACGGTTGATTTGGTGACGTTTAAAGCCGCCGCTCTTTTGCGTATTGAGAAGCGTGGATTGCGACGAACGCTAGCTGCCACTTCGTTTATTGTTTCTTCCGTCCTTGGAAGTTAGCTAGGTAGCTCGAAATTTGATAATCCATTTACGAATCAAATTTTCGGTTGGTCCATCGCATAAACGTCTGATATTGTAGTGAGAACAAAACTGTCTCCGAGCCACAACCTAGGATTCTCCACCTTTCAAAAACGCTTCGAAAGCGAACGCGCGGTGCTCACCCGACCACTGCGACATCGGGACTAACGAATCCGCACGAACGACGAAGCTACTGCGCTCCTCCCCCCGCGCTTGCATCGGTTTTTTAAATATTCAAATTTAAAATCCTAACTCTGCCGTGAGACACCCGGTACCATTAAATATTGAATTGTTTTATAGTCTCAATTATTTAATTACAAAAAATGTATATTAAATGCAAGTTAATTACTTATTATAATATTCAATTAATGAATAATTTACATAAATTAATTGATTTTAATAAATTAACTACATTTTTACTTTTTTGAGAATTTATAAATGAACTATCATAACGTTTCATTTGATAAAATATTGTTATTTGGAACATGACGATATAAGATTGTTAGCACTGTTTTCGCTTTAGACTTTGACCTATGCCACACTGGACGGAAATTCTGTCGCGGATCTACTGCAGCGGAACGCTAATACGTTTTATCGCATATAAATTATTGATAACGGGTCCGCATAAGGACTGACCGATCTTCCGCGTGTGTGCCCATTATTATTAAATATATTAGATATAGTGAAATGTATTAGAGTTCCGCCGCGGAAGATCTGCGACGGAATTTCCGTTTAGTGTGGCGTAGGCCTTAAGGTACCGTGTATGCTAACAGTACAGCGTCAATAAGCCGCCATATTTGATCCTATTCTTTAACCGAACTGGTAGGATAGAAGTTTTCATTTCAAATATTTTTTATATCCCCGGAATGACATACTAACAAAATATGATAGTGTGGTAACAGAGTACTTACAGGAATTATTACGTGGTGTTGCAGGTGCGAATGTACCACGGCGGCGGCGGCGTGGCGCCGGGCGTAGGCGTGGGCGGGGGCGTTGGCGGCGGTGTGGGTGTTGGCGAGGGCGCGGCGTACGCTCCGCAGGCGCCGTCGCCCGCCGCCGCCTCCCCCCGCGCTCTACCCGCCCCCCTCACCCGCGCACACGCCGCACCCGCACCCTCACCCCCACCCGCACCACCACTACCAGCAGCCGCCCTTCCAGGTACGTGTACATACACATGTCACATTCATTTCTAGTGACCCGATGAGTGATCGGGTAAGTATTGCTCTCCCCCTCTGGACGGCCGTAAGGTGCAAACATACAATTCGTAAACGTATTTTTCTTCTTAATAAATAAATAACTATAACCGCAAAAATTTAACGATAAAATAGTAGAATTGCATAACCCACAAGATATATATAGAGTACGCGGATCGATACGAGTTGAAAAATATCATACTCCAAGGAATAGCTGTTGACCTCAATAATGTCGGCCGTCGGTCATTACTACAATATTTGGTCGTAGATACTATCAATCGTTTGATCCGGAATGTTAAAAAATAAAAATAAAAAACGACGGGTTACACTCGGGGAGTACCGGCAGACGTGAAAACTTGAATATTAACGTTGTTTATTTTTTAATATTTTGGAATGCTTAGGGAATAATTTTGCACCAATTTCTTTAATTATCAGTATAATAGTACTATCATTTATGTGGTAGAATACAATATGTATTTATTGCGCTATCGTACACAAACATGACAATTCATATTACATTCGCGCAAGCGCCCTGCGCCGCCTAAACGAATCAGCAGGCTCAGGCATACATTTTCGCCGCGCCGTAGAAAGAGAGGGCCTATCTCCTATGCCGTCCGACCTCCATCAGCGTATAAGTAGCATAATAAATAACTCTTAATTTTTAAAAATCATTACAATGTCAGCATAAAGGTAATAAAATAATTATAGCACTATTTTTCAAAAGTTGTTTTATTGACAGTTTAGCTAGGTAACTACAATCAACAAAATCTGAGAAATACATTTTGACAGCTGTCATACTTATTGCACCAAGCATGTCAACCAAAAAATGGGAACGTAAAATATTCGATTTTTAAAAAAATCGATATCAATTATTTAGAGTTGGTAATCATTTACAGTTTGGTTTTAATAATACCAATATATATTAAAAACGAATAATTTAAAACACAAGATTTATCAGTTTCTTCGTGTATGTTGTTACTGCTTATTTCTAGAAGCAAAGTTATAAACATTTAAGATTGAAACTGGATTAAAAATAAATTTATTCAATCGCTTTCAGTACAACTAGTTGAGCTGTCGTTGTTTAGATTAATTATCATTTGATTTCCAATAATGCATTCAAAATTAATATCTTTTTCAAAGTTATCCATAATAATTTTTTTGTTTTTTCTACCACTTTTGCCCAATCATCCTTTGTGACATGAGCACATGCTTCAACGAATATAGAAAAAAAAAACAGTTAAATGCGACTAACAAAATAAGGATGTCCCCCGGGTGGTGCTAAATGAGCGACAAGCCGATAGCACAGACTCGGCTCCACGCCCTGGTAGAGGCGTAAAATATACCACCCTTTATCCGCACCATGAGGAACAATATAATAGAAATGGCCCCGAGTTCCCGGCGCCCCTTTAATGGGGCAGGGGTGCGAAGAATCTCCGGGAGGAAAACCGGCGACGAGGTTCGCCACCCGTCACGTTCTGTCTCCCGGAGAGGCGAAAAGTGGATTGCAGAGGTCCGTCTGGCTACGTTGAATGTATGTGGGGCAATGAATGATAAAATGGATGAAGTATGCGATATGATGAATGATAGAGGAATAGATGTGTTATGTGTAAATGAGACGAAAAGGAAGGGAAAGGATGTCACTACACATGGCATGTATACCGCATACTGGTCTGGTGTAGACGAGATCGAGCGGGCATGCCAGGGAGTAGGTATCATCCTTTCAGAAAGAATGGGCCAATGTGTGAAAGAGTATGAATGTGTAAGCCCAAGACTGCTGTGGATACGAATGAAAGTGGGCTTAAAGAAGTTGTTTGTGTTAGGGGTCTACGCCCCAGACATGTCTAAGCCCACTTATATCCGAGAGCAGTTTTGGGAAATGGTAAGGATGGTGTTAATGGAGTGTAAGGGAAATGAAAATATTATTATGCTAGGAGATTTTAATGGAAGGGTTGGGGTGAGGAGGCTTGGTTATGAAAGGATATTGGGAACGTTTGGTGATGAAAGTATAAATGAGAATGGTGAAAGTCTCCTCACCGTATGTATGGAAAAGAATCTTTTTGTGACGAACACTTGCTTTCGCCACAAGAGGATTCACATGTATACTTGGGAAAGAGGTGACGATAGAAGCATGATAGATTTAATAATTGTGGATGAAAGATTGAGGGGCGCAGTTGTAGATACAAGGGTTTACCGGGGTTCTAACGTAGGAAAGGATCATTATTTGGTTCTATGCCGAATTAATGGTCTATTCAGGCGTTGGCGCCATCGGTCATCTGTGTCTACCACTGCGTTACAGCGTATTAGAACAGAAAGGTTACAAGATGAAGGTGAGAAAAAGAAGTTCAAATGTAGACTGAAAGAAAATATAAGTGGTTTGGATGAATTATGTATGAAGGAGTTAGACTTGGAGAATGTATGGCAAAATGTAAAGAAAGGTTTAGTGGATGCAGCTACCGAAGTATGTGGTGTTAGTAAGAGAAAGAATGAAAGGAAAAATAATACGTTATGGTGGGATGATGAGGTACGTATGGAAGTTGAAGCAAAGAAGAGAGCATGGCTAGATTTACTAGCAACAAAGGCTGGTAATTCTAGCGGTACGAATGATGATATTGAAAGAAAAAAGGCAGTCTTTAGACATCTTAATAAGAGAGTAAAAGAAGTAGTTGAAAGAAAAAAGCAAGAAAGAACGGATAAGAATGATAGAAGAATATCGGATAATTTCCAGGCAAATATTAAAATGTTCTGGAAACTTGTAAGAACTGCCAGGGGACATTCAAAACAGCCTATGATGAATGCTATAAGAGACGAGAATGGCTATATTCTGAATGATGAAGTTTTGAGTTTAAAGAGATGGAAGGAATATTTTGAAAGCGTGTTTATGAGTGAGGAGACAACGTGTGTACTAAGTGAAGTAGAAATTCCGAAAGAAGAGGAAAGAGGTAGCGAGATTAGTGTAGGTGAAATAATGAAAGCAATGAAAAGCATGAAAGCAGGTAAGGCTGCCGGATATGATAGAGTTTCACTCGAAATGCTAAGGGCTGGAGAGGAAGTGGTGGCAGGCCTGCTGCACACCTTGTTTAATTTATGCTGGGAACTGAAGCGGGTACCGGTAGACTGGTGCAAAGCCGTGATAGTCCCAGTATATAAGGGAAAAGGGTCGCAGCAGGACTGTAAAAACTACCGTGGCATCAGCCTTCTTAGCATTGTGGGAAAACTGTATGCTAAGGTACTGATTGAAAGGGTCATGAAAGAAACTGATGGAAAAATTTGGGATGTGCAAGCAGGATTTAGAAAGGGAATGGGATGTACAGATCAAGTCTTTTCCATGCGCATGATCGCGGAGAAGTTTTTGGCCAAAAACCAAAAGGTTTTTTGTGCGTTCATGGACTTGGAAAAGGCCTATGACAGAGTGAATAGGGATGTGCTATGGCAAACACTGAACTCATTTGGGTTGAGCGCTGGCTTGATACGGGCATTGGAGTCCCTTTATAGGGACTCTAGTGCTTGTGTTAGGATCAACGGGGTCTACTCGGACTGGTTTGACATCCATAAAGGTGTCAGACAGGGCTGTGTAGCTTCCCCGTGGCTGTTCAACCTATTTATGGACAGTTGTTTGCAAAATTTGAAAGTTGAAGAATGCGGATTAAGAATGGGTGAGTTAACCGTCAAATGCCTTTTGTACGCCGATGATCAAGTTATACTTGCGTCGTCGGCGGCCGAGTTGCAAATGATGGTTACATTAATGAACAGATCATTAAAAGAAAGGGGTATGAAAGTAAACGCAAGTAAGACGAAGGTTATGGTTTTTGAAAGAGAAGAAAGTAAAACGATTTGTGAAATAAGAATAGAAGAGGAGTTGATCGAGCAAGTAGATGAATTTGTATATTTGGGCTGCGTATTTAGCAGGGATGGGAGATATGATAAGGATATAGAACGACGAGTGAATGCGGGAAATAGAGTAAATGGGGCCCTGCACTCTATTGTGAAGAGTCAAAATGTGTCAAAAAAGGCACGTATGGCAATTCACAATGCTGTGTTGGTCCCTACTTTAACATATGGTAGTGAAAGTTGGGTGTGGCAGAAGAAGCACGAGAGTAGAATGAACGCAGTAGAAATGCGGTCGTTAAGGAGTATGTTAGGGCTGAATCTTAATGACAGGGTAAGAAATTGTGTAATAAGAGAAGAGTGTGGTTTGCAAGATGATGTTGTGACCAGGATTAAGAAAGGAATGCTTCGGTGGTTTGGTCATGTGGAAAGAATGAATGAGGAAAGAGTGACAAAGAAAATTTATGTTGCAGAAGTGAATGGCAGAGTCGGAAAGGGACGTCCTAGGCGAAAATTTATCGACCAAATTGGCGATTTATTGAAAACGGGCCAAATTAGGAGTACCCTTAACCGACGAGCATGTATGCGGAGGTGTATGGATGTGAAGGAGGCGAGAGAGGTGTGTCAGGATCGTGCCAAATGGAAGTCTGTAGTCTCTGCCTACCCCTCTGGGTGACAGGCGTGAGTGTTTATGTATATGTTATGATTATGTATAAAATAAGGAGGCAAACACAAAATCACTAAATTACGCACAGTAAGCTCCCAAAATGGCGGGAGATTGGAATTACGTAGTCGTTTTTAAACGCGGCCTTGGATACGAGTTTTTTGCCTACACCAATTTACGTAGACAAATTAAAAAAAACTGGTTTTATTCATGATTCATGTAATTTAAGAAATCTAAAAATAAAAATTAAATTAAAAAAAAAATTAATGATTCGATTATTTTAATATTTTTACCGATTATTTGAATATTTTTGCCGATCATTCGCATAACAATGAATTTTAATCATTCAAACACTACGGTAAGGTACATAGCGACATATCATTGAAACTATGTCAAGTGAAAAAGTTGATATTGGTTATTTTCTTTAATATTTTGATTTGTTTGAAAGATTCGAATTTAAATTAGTGTTAAAAACTATACACGTAGTAATGAAATATAGACAATTTCATAATTCTTTGTATTTACGTAAAAGATTATTTTAAATCTTGTGAGTACGCATGTGCAAAGTTATTGCGGAATGATTAATGTGAAACGTCAAAGGGTATTTCTTAGATTTGGTTGACTATAGTGTCTCTAGGTTGACAACCATTGTCTTATTTAAGAACAGTGACCCATCTGAAGCATATATATACGTTAGGCACGAGAGAAGTAATCAACTAAATAATGGTTGTTTGCATATTCAATTCCATCTGCCACCTTGTCTGGCGTATGTGGACTATGAGAAAGCCTTTGATTCCGTCGAAATTTGGGCGGTGCTACAGTCTCTTCAGCGGTGCCAAGTTGACTGTCGGTATATCGAAGTGCTGAAGTGTTTGTACAGCAGGGCTACGATGGCTATCCCAGTACAGAACCAGAGTACGAAACCGATCCAACTGCAGAGAGGTGTAAGACAGGGTCAAGTTATTTCCCCGAAACTCTTCACTGCTGCATTGGAAGACGTTTTCAAGCTACTGGACTGGAAAAGATACGGTATTAACATCAATGGCGAGTACATTAATCACCTTCGATTTGCCGACGATATAGTCCTTATGGCAGAATCGCTGGAGGACCTAAGCACTATGCTCAATGACCTCAATAGTGCCTCCCAACGGATAGGTGTTAAGATGAACATGGACAAAACAAAGATCATGTTTAATGTCCATTTCACACCTATGCCGGTAGTTGTTGGGAGCACTAAGCTCGAAGTTGTTGACGAGTACGTTTATTTGGGACAAATAGTCCGACTAGGTAAGTCCAACTTCGACCGAGAGGTCAATCGACGGATTCAACTCGGCTGGGCAGCGTTCGGGAAACTACGACGAATCTTCTCGTCAGGTATACCTCAAAACCTGAAAACTAAGTTGTACAACCAGTGCGTGTTGCCAGTGATGACCTACGGAATCGAGACGTGGTTCTTCACTGCTGGCCGTATGAGGACGCTCAAAGTCGCTCAGCGAGCTATGGAGAGGGCTATGCTCGGAGTTTCTCTGCGTGATAGACTTAGAAATGAAGATATCCGCAGTAGAACCAGAGTGACCGACATAGCCCAACGGATTAGTAAGCTGAAGTAGCAATGGGCTGGCCATATAGCTCGAAGAACCGATAACCGATGGGGAAGAAAGGTTCTCGAGTGGCAGCCTCGTACCGGTAGGCGAAGTGTAGGGCGACCCCTCACTAGATGGAGTGACGACCTGGTAAGACATGCAGGAAGTCGATGGATGCAGGTGGCTCAGGACCGTGCTTTTTGGTATATACCTTGGGGGAGGCCTATGTTCCGCAGTGGACTTGTGAATGGCTGTAATGATGATGATGATGATTGCATATTCAGTCTATTTAGGTGTTATCTTGTATCATATTCTAAATGCTTACTGTTTCATAAATGATTTATGAGGCAATGTCGTTACTTGAAATATTCCCTTTATTTGAATCATTTCCCGAGCAATTTTAATTAATTTATTTTCGGGAGTAAATTTTATGAAAAAAAAGCAAAGGCAATCATAATGTCTAACCAATTTTCGACCACGGCGTTAACTTCTAAATGATAGATAGAAGTATTTACTGTGTACGAGATAATGTCATAGCGCTAGTGTATTGCCGGATACAGAGATCGAGCGTACACGTAAGAAATAAAACAAACTTTTGGCTTACAATTAATCAATCTGGAAAAAGGAAGCAACTACATTCCCAAGATGCTGTTATTTAGACCAAGGGTTACAAGAGGAGGTACCCTTATAACTTCATTTTCTTCTCTATTCTGATGTGTCAGAAATCGGAGCTTAATAATTTTATAATTAGATAATTCATAAAACAGCGTGCTTGGCCATAATCATACAATAAATAAAAACTCTCAAAAAATATTTATTAAAAAGGTTTTTATTTCTTTCATAAATTATTTCAAATACATAATTTTGTTCTTATGCTAGGTATAGGTAATTAAAATTATTAAGGTATAGGTAATATCTTTAAGAGCGGCAACTTTGCTTTCTTTATTACCAGTCTATAAGCTATAGAAGTTTGCCTAATAAATTATGTGTAAATTATATGGCAGGTTGCTATTATGGATTTGACACGAGGATGAGAATGCTAAAGTGTGTGTATTGCAGGTGCTGTGCCCGCTGATGGGGCCGGGAGGCGCGGCGCACCACCACCACCACCACCACGTGGCCTACCTCAACCACGCGCCCCCCACCGCTTCGCCGCCCCACCACCCCCACCCCATACAGGTATAAAACTCTGTGGTCTTTATAAAAGTTCGTATTGTATATTTTAATTTAATATTTTATTATAAAATGCCCTCTTTTTTTTTCAGAGTTTCAGAGAACTATTTAATGCTTTGACACTAACTAGGAAAATGTATGAAAGAAACAAATTTATTTGACCGAATAAATATGTTTGGGCTGTAATGATGATAATATTCATCATCATCATTACAGCCCTTCAGTAGTCCACTGCTCAACATAGGCCTCCCCCAAGGAATACGAAAAAGCACGTTCTTGAGCCGTCTGCAGCCATCGACTTCCTCCATGTTTTACCAGGTCGTCATTCCATCTAGTGGGGGGGTCACTTTGCCTACCGGTACGAGGCTACCACTCGAGAACTTTTTTCCCCAATTTTTGTCGGTTCTTCGAGCTATATGGCCAGCCCATTACCACTTCAGCTTACCAATCCGTTGAGCTATGTCAGTCAGTCTAGTTGTACTGCGTATGTCTTCATTGCTAAACATTTTATCACGCAGAGAAACCCGGTTATACCCCTCTCCATAGCTCGCTGATTATATTAGCGATTCTGTCATAAACACCAGTACCTTGAAAACGTCTTCCAATGCAGCGTTTAAGAGTTTCGGGTATATAACGTCAATCTGTCTTATACCTCTGCAGTTTGATAGGTTTCTTACTCTGGTTCTGTATTCGGATAGTCATCGTAGCCCTACTGTACAAACACTTCAGCACTTCGATATACCGTCAGTCAACTTAGCACCGCCCAAATTTCGACGGAATCAAAGGCTTTCTCATAGGCCAGGCAAAGTGGCAGATTGTACTCTTTCCTTGCCGCAGGGTATATATGTGGTCTATGGTACTGAAACCTTTTCGGAAACCGGCTTGTTCGGGAGGCTGGAACCTGGAAGTCGTTAAGTCTGCTTGCGGGACGATTCGTAATGACTTTCGAAAACAGCACGAAATTGCGGCTCAGAAGAGAAATCGGTCAGTAGTTCTTCAAGAGAGCGTTGTTTTCCACCAGCTGCAGCAGCTCCACTGTAATTGTAATTATATCTACATATTAGAAAAAGATAATTAAGTTGTTGATGATGGTGAAAAGGATCCCGCCCCAGTGATAATCTTGTATTTTTTTCCTATGTTCGTCATTTTCAGCAATATCGAAGGCCAAAATATAGGCCTTTTTCTTTTAACAAAATGGTCACAATAGTCCCTCGAAGTAAAGTGCGTTCTTTTAATGCGACGGTTATGTCAGCCATCTTGGAGTAGAGACAACCCTCGTGAAAAAGAACACTAACAGAACTATACGTGAAGCGTCTTTTGTACATCAGACAGCATGACGCATTTTGAAGTGTGTAAAGCACGTTAGCAATTTTTTTAAACGTTTGTAAATGAGCACACAGTCTATCTGATGGTAAGTGGATGTTGTGGCCCATAGATATTTTTCGTCGATTAAGGATCAAAATGCAGATGCGTTGTCACCTTTGAAACTAAGAATGCCCCATTTCCAGTAAAAAGAGCATCCGATTTTCTACATTAAGCTGCTATTTTACGCTGGTGTTTTGTGAGACAAACTTCGTGCTACAAGCATAATATGCGGCTCTCGTATGTAGTGGCTAGCAGTAAAGTGTGCTTTGGTTTGCAGCAAGTGCTGTTGCCGCCACAGCACCAGTCTTCGGGCGGGTCGAGCACGCCAGGCGTGCACTCCGCGCATCCGTAACGGCCGCGTGGGCTCTCTCGCGCCCCCGCCCGCGCCCGCCCCGCACGCCCCACCCACCCCGCGCGCACAGGCACGCGCCCGCCGTGCTAAGCACCGCGTACGCACTCCTTATCGCTCACAATTTAAGGTCGCATTTTCTCTGACTACTGGTTCGAATATCAATATCGGTCTGATGGTGCGATTCCTGAGTGTGTCGACGTTAGCTCGCCAACGTGAAGTTTGTAATAAAGCTACTTTATTCTCGAACACATAAGGTCGATATTTGTTCACGTGTTGGTGCTCAATGTCAGTGATTGTAAATTCTCAATGTTTGAGTGTCAATGAGATTAGTGTGTATGTTGAGATTCGAATCTGTACGTTATTGTCAACTTTAATGCAAATGGTTTATGTATTATATTGATGGCGAAACCGTCTCTCTGTTTAATATTGTATTGGAAAATAAATATTATTCGAAAGGGATAAAATCTTTCAACAAACTGTGTACGTGATAGTGTGTATATAAAAAAATGATTACTATGAAATCCGATTCATTAAAGATATGCTTGTCATTTTGGTTAATTATATAACGCTACATACAATATTTTTATAACTTCCATATAAACGCAAACATTACTACGAAATGAAGTTTAAATGTTTTAATATGAAGAAAATAGTGATTATGATTAAAATATTAAAATCTCATTAATCAATTTTCTCTTGGAAAAACGTTTATAAAAAGAATATGTTAACTTTTGCCATCAGAAAATAGTTATTATATCTTTGTATTAGAGTTGATAATGTTACGGTCGACCTTTTAACAATTAACAATAAGGTTATTTATTGTTGGCGCGACATGGCTCAAATTGTGCACGTTGTATTTCAATGATCCCAGGATTTAGTAAGGCTCGCTTGTAGTGAATGAAGGTCTTTAAATTTACATTAACAATTGCACATATTTTAGCTCCGTCGCATCTATTCAATACCTGTTCATTACTGGCGCATAAACATTCCTTATATAAATTCTAAGACGAACGAAAAGGAATAAACTGCCTTTTTGCGTAAATGCAAATTCTTGGCTGCAATAATTATAGAGTAATGTTTCTGTTATTAATGTAACTTGGATGTGTTGATGTTTACATAAAATCTCCGTTGTATGGAGGTACGTAGATCTGCTGTTGGCAACACTTATTGGATGTATTGTTGCCAGCGGGAATAAATAAATGCCAGTGGTAACTTTTTATAACAGCCTACTCGGTTAGCTTAGCACGGCGGGGCAAAGAATATATAACACTTATGTATAAGCGTAATTGTTGTGTGCACTGTGAGATGGATTTCTGAGTCTGGCGAATGTGAAGATCGCCGGAAATTGAACTCGTGTATTATAGATAGATGAATTACTTCCTCATGTTGGAGTCGGTGGAATTGTGTCAATTGATTGTGACGAAATGTTTCGTGAATTGAAAGACCAATATTTGATGTTTTGGGCATATTTTGGACTAATAGAATGCATTTAAGCAAATGATGTGAAAATCAATGTGAAAGTTATTTTAAGTAAAAAAAAAAAACAGCATACTATTTACTTATCTGGGATTTTTTATTTTATTAACATTATATTTTGAACCCAGTGTAATATTATTTTAAAGGTAAATGCATCACAAATATCATATATTTAGCCATAGATAACATTACAGATAAATAATTCAAAATTGTTATTCGCGTATTAAATTGTCACAATTCCACGCGGCCATATTGTTTACGAGGAACTCGCGTCGCTTCATTCGATGCGACGCAGTCAAATATGTATTTATTTAGTGTTACGTTAGTTTTTATGTGAACCCTCCGCTGATTTTCAAAATCTCGACGCGAAAGCGAAAATTCCCCAAATGTGATTCGCGTTTGGGGTAGATGTTTTTTGTTTACCTTCTCGCGTGGAGCTATCTTCTGTGGACTTATTTGATACTTTTATATAGACTTGTTTCGATTTGCTTTCGGTTTTTAGGAACGTTGGTGTCTATCCGACGAGGTTATTACGGTTATATTGTGAAGATTTTTGGAATGTCGACAAGTTGTGCATGCTGAATTTATATGATGCTCGTAATTATTACTTTGGTGTAATAGATTTGCGTCCAACAAGCACTTGTACTATTTAATTGTATAGCCTTTAATGTAATCATTTGATTAAAATTAATACGGACCCTAAGATCTTGTGGACTAACACAGAGCACGTATCAGAGTAAGAAGTGACCATAGAATACTATAATACATACGTAATAAGGACGGGGGAATGGGCGGAGCCCGCGTAGCCACTAAAATGACACTAACACGTCAATTCACACGTATAAATGTCAACACGGGATGTGTTTTGACGTTACAATCGTTTCCAAATTTTGCATGCAAATTGTTTAGAAAATGCCAAATTGCACCCTATTTACAAATAAATATGAATTAAAATTTAATGATGATCTTGAACATTAATCAAAAGTCTAAAATGTGTAAATTTACTCAGTCTGTCAATACAGCGAATCGGGTTTGGCGACGCTAATTATCGTATAAAATAAATTTGACAGCCATTCTTTTGTATATTATAGTATTCTATGGAAGTGACAGGACTTTAACGGGGATTTGTAAATCTTAAACAATTAATCCCTAATGCAATTTCAATATTTTTCTTGTTCCTGCAAATACCCTAAATTGCCTGCTAGTCTAGTACTAAAGTCAAGTTGAATATTTCAATATCATAATTTATCTAAACGGCTGCCAAAGTATTGAACATATAGTCTTTGATATTTTTTTTTTTTTGTTAAATAAGTTATGTTTTATGGGTAATTATGTAAAGTATCAAAAATTTCGTTAAAAATTCAGTGTGCACGTGGGTATATTATTATATTTATAACTATTTATTTCCACATTTACTGCCTTTCGAAGTTGTGCTACTGCGATTTTAGATTGTGCGTTTGGGACGCAAGTAGAAGTGACAATAAAATAAAATTGATAAATATAGGGTAAGGTACTACTACCGTCGCTTCAAGCGTAATATTGACAAGGGATTTTGAATATTGTGAAAGTAGTCTTTACTTACTTTAAGTTCAAATTCCTGTGTCAATATAGACCAAAGTGAGGCATCATCGATCAATTTTGTTTCACAGTCATCATAACAAATTTGAGTTATATTTAATTCCTCTCGGCATTTTTCCTATCGGCCTCGAAAACTCACCGATGACTATCCACCTACTGTAATGAGAAGGGGACCATTTCTATTCTAAATACTGTTAGAAATCAGTATTTTTGTATGAATGTAAAAAAGAAGGTTGAATAAGAAACGTGTGTGTGAGTTACATGAAAAATGTAAATTGTGAATGCGTATGTTTGGTCTCAACACTTTACCTCCATTCTTATATAATAATTGAATTTGAGCTAACCAAGTCACATCCAATTTGGGGCCGGTAAAGTGATTACTTTTTCAACCACCTTATATACAACGATCTTTTTGGGTTATAATGTATAACGCAAATTTGTTACGATTACTGGCGAAATTGTACTTTTCAGAAAACTTTCAACATTTTTCGTAGTCAAAGATAATCGCGTTTTTACTAAAAATTCCAATCGCGTAGTTAGTCTTATTTATTTAAGTTTACGAAGAATTTCTATATTTATATGAGCATGTATAAGCTCGTATACAAGTATTGTAACTAATACCCGCTTTAGGTTTTTGCATACTCTTAGACACCGTGATCCAAACATATGGTCCTCAATTCCCAGGGCCACTGTTTGTTTGTTTGAATGGAGGGGGGCTCTGTCCATGACCTCCGCGCGGTGCTCCCTGGGTAGCGCCAAACGTGGACAAATGCATTCACATTTATAGCTGTTTGTCTATAACGTTTTAAGATACATTTGCTAAGTGTTTTGGTCCCTCGTGGGAAAGGTTTTGGAATCGCTTGTTTAGGCTTATACAAATAAATAATCTACAAAAAATACAAATAAAATTAATAGGAACTGAATAATGTTTATAATTTTACAGTAAAATAAAACATTACGTATTAGTCAATCAAATTCAAATTTCATCAAAATTGAAATAGAAAACTCGAAAATAAAACACTTAGATCTAAATAGATATTACACAATAGACATATTTACATTATATATAATAATAAATGGCGACAAGTTCGCTGGAATTGTATTAAACATCTTTCCTAAGTCCATAGATATACTAAGATAGTTGTACATATGTATATAGATTATATAGATGGGTAACACTCGTCCTTTCCTACTGAGAACGGCTTCTATTCGTGTAAAATTTGTGATGTATAAATACAAAAACGACAAACATTAAAAAAATCACAAAAAAAATCGGAAAAGGGCCTATTTAGCTCGCACCACGGAATTAGCTAGACTTAGATATCATTTTGAAACGTGGCGCGAGTCATTCGTATATATTATTGTTTTTTTTTTGTTTCATTTATTTTCTGATTGTTTTCCTTTAAATTTTATAACCCGCGCGAGCGCGTTCACATGTGTTGCTAGATGAGAGTGAGATATGAGAAATTATATGAGCGTTTGTTGATTGTTGTGCGCCGTGATATAAATATAAATATATGAATATAATTTTCCTCGTCGAGACAGAATCGTTCGAGCATTTAGAGGCAGCAAGTAGTACCATATTGTATGGAGTTTTGGCAGCGGCATATTGTAATTTTTGAGCTTGCGAAAGCATCATGGTCCTTTGTTACATATTTTGCGATCACGGACTGTGTAAAGGGATTCACGTTGCGATATGGGCAGCGACATTACTATCTTTAATTTCGTAACGTTTTGAAATGGTCTGAAAGTTTCAAAATCAATATACAACGTGCTAAAATTTGAAGGCAAGTCACGCAGTTTGTGAGCGCAGGTTTTTGAGTATATTGTAAGCCGAATCGTTGCAACGAAGATTACATTGAAAATGCAAATTAGGGTTAATTCCTACTAGTTTTACTGTTCAACCGTTTAAAGCCGATGAATGGCGAGCCTGTTTCTAGTAGTTTTATTGAACAATATTTTAAAAGGTAGAATATTGAAACAAAATAGCTAAACTCACAACACCTAATTAACTATTAACCTAGGTTTATCTGGACTAAGGCAGACTTGTAGTAAATGTACCTTCAAACTGTTCGATTTTATTTTTGAG